TATATATATATATATATAGGTGTCATAGACTCATGCACTCTTCTTCTTTGTCAAGTGTCTCTTTGAAGATAACTCAGGACATCAAAGGATGTTGGCTTCAGTGTAGCCTTTCATTCTCTTCTTCTTTTTCTTCTTCTTCGAGATAGGCTCTAGGTTGGTATTCATGAGCTTTATGCCGAGGTACACATCCTGTTGTTCTCTTGGACGACTTTTGCTCAGTGAATAGATTTAAAAAACCATTATGGTTTTGAGGTTGACGATCTCCATAAGCTGGACGTCCCTGTTGGCCGTTCCGGTTTGAATTTGGCACATGAGATGCAATTTGCGACCCGTGTCCTGACATCTCTTCTCATCTTGGGATATATAAAATATTTCTTTATCTGGCTGAATGTCTTCTTGAATCCCAGATGTGCTCCCATCGGAGATTTGTGAAAATACTGAAAGATCATTTCTTGACAGGATGTTGGCAGTGCAATTTTGGGACTTCTCATGTTAGCTGGCTTATACATAAGTACTCCTTTATCGTCCAGCAAGTAGCCTAGTTTCTGGTGTCCCTCGCGTATTTGCGAAACAATTGCTCCCAATATAGGTAATCAGCAATATTATTATTCCGTCCCTTTACATTTTTGACATCAAATTTAAAAGAATCCAGTTCAGAAATCCAGTTTATTGCAGGGTTAATCATCATTTTTGATCTGTCTCCCTTTAAAAACACTGCCAAACCAGAGCAATCTGTAAGCAACGTGAATGGCTTATGTATTAAATAATGACTGAAATGTCTTAAATTTAATACGACCGAGAATAATACTTTTTTATAAGTGGTTTTTCAGGATCTTCATTGTTATTGTTCAATTAGTCTGAAGATAAACTTAAGTCTTTTCTTACTTTTTTGTTTGGGACTTCATTAATATTAGTAAGGCTTTGTGAAGTAGTTCTTTTCAAAGATGTGACAGTCAAATTGCCAGATGCTTTTATCTTCTTATCGTCTTCAATACTATAAACATCTTCTTTCTTGCCCTTCACGCATTCTTCTGCTATGTCGTTTTTATTTAAAGAAATATTGAAGTTTGATCCTAAGATCTGATCCAAAATTTTGGTTACTGCTCATCGGCTCATCAGTATTGCACTTCTTTAACGTTATTGCAGTTTTATAATCCGTATTGAATGTCTGTTTTCCTCTTTCAATTTTCGTTTTGGATTGGTTGGCACAGGAGTTCTTTGGATAGACATTAATGGCGTTATCCTCTTCTGTACAATTTTTGGCATAAAAGAAAATTCCGGGATTTTTATTTTTTGTGACTTTTACCAGACTTGGGCATTTTTCCAATAAAATTTACTCCTTCCTTAATTTCATTCCATACCTTTTCTTCCTCATCTTCAACTTCAGTTTTGACCTCCTCCCAATTATCTAAAATGTTTAAAATCTGTTCCAAATCTCGATCGCTCATAGTGGAGAGAAACTATTTATTCACTTGTAAGGACAAGCAAGAATGAACGTCCGACCTCAGAATTTATCTAAGAGAGACTGCCGTCCTATCCAATCCCGACGTGTTCGGCGCTTCAACCAATCAGCGAAATATGGTCATCGTTGATGCTCTGGTATTATAAAAGTAAAACATAAAAGAAGATAAAATTAATTAAAAATGAAATTAAACTAAATGAAATTAGATTACTGTAGTTTAAACAGAAATTGTCATCTATCAACTATATTAAAAATATCTTTTTCAACTGCTGTCGTATTGATTTTCAACTTTCATCAGGTCAGAGCATGGTATCACGATGAATATTGTGATAAACATACTGGGTAATCCATCATTATCTCGGCTTTTACAGAATCAATTAATCCATTCACCGGAGAGCAGCCGAACGAGTATTGATTCAAGAGTTATTTAAGAAAATCATAGTATCTCATGTCAAAATAATCGCTCGGTCAATTCAGAATTTCGTTTGATCCGACAGTTCATTATCCCACGTAATGGAAACCACATACGATGTAATCATTCGTTTCATCTGTGAGGATGGGAAATGTGCATAAGCTAATCTGCATAAATAATTACACAAATAAAATTCTGGTGTCATGTACGGTCATAGTTGCGCATTAGGGAGACATAAGGTTAAGTTGTTATAATAAAGAAAATCACTATAGGAAATAATTGAAGTTTTATTTGTACAAATATATTATTTTTCCATATCAATTTCTGTTTTCGCGATGTATGTAATGCAATTGTACGTCACGTCTGTGTCAGGAGATTATTAATTTTGAATTCCATGAATTTAATGTTCAGCATTATACTATGTTTACCTTTTATAACGCATAGACAAAAGCAAAGCACGTTACAAAAAGATGGATTCTCAATTTTGTGCAATAATACAAACAATAAAATAAAACAAGCCCTTGAAATTTGTAGCAATTGACATTGAACTAGAGAAAAAAATTCGTTCTGCCGCTCAGTTACGAACACTTTAAAATGGTCCCACGTCGTCTTAAGTACAGTTTTTTTTACAATTGTTTTCGCGATGTATGTAATGCAATTGTACGTCACGTCTGTTTCAAGAGATTATTAATTTTGAATTCCATGAATTTAATGTTCAGCATTATACTATGTTTACCTTTTATAACGCATAGACAAAAGCAAAGCACGTTACAAAAAGATGGATTCACTATTTTGTGCAATAATATAAACAATAAAATAAAACAAGCCCTTGAAATTTGTAGCAATTGACATTGAACTAGAGAAAAAAATTCGTTCTGCCGCTCAGTTATGAACACTTTAAAATGGTCCGACGTCGCCTTAATAAAAGTTAAGCTCTTTCAGGAGAAACAAAATTGGTCCTTCACGATAATCATTGTTCAAATTCTACTTTGTTAATTAAGCCCTTCTTAAATGATCTCTTTCCCCCTCAAACTCCCCATAAAACGTAAAATGACTGTCATGTGAGAGATGTAATCGATTTTCCAACAGAGAATTTAAAGCGGATAAAAGACAACCTATAAAAAAATTTTCATATTTAATTATTCAACCTAGACGTCAAACCGAACGACGAAAAACCAGTGAATAAACATATGTTGTGAAAACAGAATACATACTTCTAAATTCTGGCTTCTTATTCACTATTGTCCAGAATTCGTTAGAATCTTTTAAGCCTGCTAATTTTTTAGTTAATACTGAGAAATAATTTATCCTCGCTTGTTTACGGATTTGTTTGTATTCTTTCAGGTTGCTACTGTATTGATACTAATATACAAAGAACATCATTAATTTTTCCATTGTACAAAAAAGGAGAATCTAATTGTGTTGAAAATTATAGGCCATTTCTCTGTCAAATACAATATCTAAAATTTTAATAAATCTTACATAGGAGAGATTAAAGATATGGGTGGAGTCTGAACATATTCTTAATCAATTTCAAGCTGGATTCAGAAAAGGATATGGTACCAATTGATAATATTGGAAATTTATTAAATATTGTTAAAATTAAAGCACAAAGAAAACGCAGCAAACTATATTGCTTTTTCATTGACTTTAAATCAGCTTTTGACTCCCCAGTTAGAAATGCGATTTATTATAACTTGAATGTCTTAGGTTTATTGACTAAAATAATCGAAATAATTAAAAAGTATTATGAAAACACTCAATCAGCTATATGGACTAAACAAGGAAGCAGCAACTTTTTCAAACAAAAAATGGTGTCAAACAAGGATGTGTTTTATCCCCATTCCTGTTCTCATTATTTCTTGAAGATTTTTATAACTTTATCGAAGGCGGTGTCTGGATTGGGACCGAAAATATAAGATGCTTATTATATGCGGACGACATTGTTATTTTTGACGATAATGCACTTGCACTACAAAGAATGTTAGACAAAGTGTACACCTACTGTCAATCGTGGAACATGACAGTTAATTTAAGAAAATCAGTAATAATGGTCTTTAAAAAAGGAGCCAAACTTGCTAAGCAAGAACGTTGGAAATATGACGGCAAAAATGTAATCATTGTGGCAGACTATAAGTATTTGGGCTTTACGGTGACCCGTCAGACTTCATTTTGAAAACATTTAAAAGAAAAAAAATAGAACCTGTAAACTAGACCTAGGGACTGTATGGAACTCCTTCATAAACAAAGATGATATGCCTTTTACAGTAAAATATAAGGTTTTTTTATTTTGTATCGCGAGCAATTTTATGCTATGCAGCACAGATCTGGGGCTATCAACAATATGAAGAAGTCGAAAGTGCCAAGAGACACTACTAAAAATTGTTCTACATGCCCAAGAGTTGTCCAGATTATGTACTTTATCTCAAAACTGATAGATTGCCTTTGTTCATTTTTACTGTTTTCCCTGCATATTACTTATATTCAAAGAGCCCTTCAATGTTCAAGTCAACGCCTTAGGAAGAAATTAATAAAAGAGATAATGTCAAAAAAATATTTGGGTATGATTCGTTAGTTAACCAATGTATAAAAATGAGATATGTTATCATAAAATTATATCAACAAAAAAATAGCATAAATGTAAATAACTTTCTAGAAGATTTAATTCTAGAGTTCAGACAGGGTCTCATTTAGAGGAGAGAGCGCACGCGTTTTCATTCATTATACAAAGTTATCAACACCGACTTAGGGGAAAATACGTATCTAAAAGACAGTTCACGAAGGCGTTTTATGTCTATAATAATGAAAACTAGGAGTGAAATGTTAAATTTAAATTGTTCGTACACTAGAAGGGAGGAGAGGCATAAGTGTTCTCTCTGCAATATGTTAGCAGATTAAACTGTCTTCCATTTTGTATGTATCTGCCCATTTCTGCGGAAGTACAGAAAGACATTTTTACACGCATTCGAATTAAATTGGAATACATTTCTGGAATATTTAAATGGATGAAATTGGTATGAACTACACAATTATGTAATACATGCATTAAAATATAGAAATCAATTGACTCAAGAATTTAATTATTAAATTAATATATTTTATTTATTTATTCATCTGTTTATTTATTTATTCTCGTTTTTTACTATGTAAATTGTTACACAAAGTGTTAATGCGTGGTGATTAGTGACCGTTAATCGATAATTATTCAGAAATCGTCAGTTGCGGTCTTGTGTGAAGTAGGTTTCAGAAAAACTTTTTCTTTATCGTGCCAACGTTACGATCTTTATTGAGATCATCTTCAGGGCTCAAAGTGGGCACTCTCAACACGACACGCAAGAATGGCACAATTACACAGAAGACAAACACTTTGGGCCCTGAAGATGATCTCAATAAAGATCGAAACGTTGGCACGATNAATATAATATTTATAACTCTTATACATATTATGCGTGCCAACTTCTGCAGACAGATGATATTTTAAATGTGTATATGGTTTTTGTACAGTTCATATTTGTATGTTGTTATTTTTAGGAAAAGAAATAAAAAGCATTTCTATTCTCTTCTAATATCGGACAGACAATCCTTTTTTCGATTTAAAGAGTATAAAGATTTCTTGTTTTCCCTAGGCATAACCTGTATTGCCAATATTGGGAACTATCCACAATCCAATTTAGCAGAAAGGTATCTCTGGGGTATTAAAAAGGCCATACGATCTTTTCGTTCAGACTCAAAAAAAAGTGGGAAAATAATTTGTTCTCATTCATTGCTTCTCTAAACTCTTCCCAAAACGGCCCCTTCAAAAGTATTTTTGGGAAGGGATTTACAACATGCACTAACACTAAAATTAAACATAGAAAAGAATGTGGAACACCTAACGCAAACGGAAATAGATGAACTTTTAAAACAAACTTATTCGAATCTCCTAAAAGCAAATAAAATTAGAATGAAATCTTTAAAAAATCATACAAACCTTTGCAGTCCAAATATCGGTTACACCGTCTTCTACAAAAAATATATTTTATCTAATAAAGACAAAAATATTCAGGCTTCCCTCTGCGCAAAATTCACTGGACCCTATAAAGTAGTTAATATATTTAACAAAATTTCGTACTTAATTCAAGGAATCCACAACCCCAAAACATTAATTCATGCCCGCATATCGCAACTTAAATCCAAATCAAAGCAAATTTAAAAAAAACATAAGGAATATATTGCATTACAATCAACTATAAACAAAGTACATCAAATATATGTATTAAAGAAATTAAGCCATATTTTTATCTTCTCGTATAATTTTAATATTCTAATCATAATATAATGTATTAATAACGGTTCAAAACAAGTAATTTCCACTTGGGTTTGAAAGTTCGACATACAGGACGGTGACACGTTGTTGAGGATTAAAATTGCAATCCGTTAAATGTAAATAAACATTCATATCCCTTATCGCAGAGACCTTTATTTTTAGTATAATTGTTTATTAGTAACGAAACTCTTAAAATCATTTTTCAAAATATTAATTATTCGCAGTAAAAAAACACCAAATAGGTAGCACGAATAGGTATTTAAAAAATATAATAAGGAAAAGATTGTAAAATAACAGAAAAATAAATAGGGCGAGCTGTATTATTTAAAATTCACTTTCAAGAACCAAGAACTTCTTAAGTTACAAGAAGTTACTTCAATAATATTCATTGATTAATGAATTACAGAAATGCACTTACTTGCTCAACTCCAGGAACTCGCCCAGTCTTCACCTTCTCGCAGCGACGCGCATCACTCACGTATCACCGACCATATGACCATGGAAAAGACAGGCACTATCAAGTGAAACAGCAACGACCACAACTGATACACTACGTTCAATTTTAAACATGTACTCGGGATAGTACGGGTTTTTTTTCTTTTTTTCCCCCAAAGGGGGAAATATTTATAATGCCAGAGCATCAACAATGACCATATTTCGCTGATTGGTTGAAGCGCCGAACGCGTCGGAGATGGATAGAACCACAGCAGACTCTCTTATGTTTCCTGAGGTCGGACGTTATTCTTTATTGAAAGAAATTTGCGGACTTGAGCCATTAACTTGGATTCATCACTTTCTCAAACTATCGTTTTCTAAGACTTTTTTTTTATTGGCTTTATGATCTTTGCATATTAGCCATGACGAATTTCTTATATATGTTGTTCAAATTGGGGGTTATCGGGAAAAAAGGGCCAGAGGCGACGGTGGGAATCGAACCCACGACGGCGGCGTGAGAGTCTCTCATGCTAACCACTCGGCTACCGCGGTCCCCTTTTCTAAGACTTCGCGTCATACTTTTTTTTTCAACGCCAATGAGCCTTTTTGGTTGTTTTTATTATTGAATGCGTTTGGTTATTTATTTCTATGTTTAAAAATAATGTGCTGAAGCACGACAGAGCCGCCATTCTTTTGTTGTTGTTCTTTTTTTATATTTTAATTAAAGTCCTTTTTTTATCCATTGTAATCAAAGTCTTTATTTTTTAATTCGTCGGACGGGGAAAGAAGAAGTAAGTCTTAATTTTGTTTGGTTTGTCAGTAACACGACATAGTCCGTCATACTTTCTATGCCTATCAATCGTTCTATCTCTATAGTTCGCTCTCAATCTCTCTCTCACTCCCTTTTATTGTTATTTTTTCCCATCTCACACTTTTCTCTCATTTTTCCCTCTTTCTCATTTTCTCACTCTACCTCACACGATCTCTCTCTTCTCACTCGCGTTCTTTTTTCTATCTTCCTATTTCTCTGTTCTCACTATTTTTCCCTCTAAATCATTACTTTCACTCTATCTCTATCTATCTATCTATTTATATATCTACCTATCTATTTCTTTCTGTGTTTCTGTCAATCTATTTCTCTCAATCTTTCTCGGTTTCACTCTCTTTCTCATTTTCTATCTAACTCTCTTTATCTCATATAAATTTAGACTTTATCTGGCTCTCTTTCGCGTTCCTCTCACGCTCTCTCCCCTCGCTCCTTTTCTGTCTTTCTTTTTTGTATGTTTTATCTAATCTCATTAAATGCAACAGTAAATTATTATCACATCCTAGTTAATAAACAATTCAACTGATATAATAATTCACTAGTTTTCGTGGTCCGCTTGACCAATTAATATCTTTCAATTAATTAAGGTTATTTGTCGCCGGGAATCAAATAGATTACACGACATTTGAAAAATGACAAAAAAGGAGGGAAAATTTAAAAGGCGGGATTGAGATGGGAAGTTAGTCTCCGAGTGGATCGAGGTCACGATAGTTGGTTTGGTTCGAGTTTATTTATTAGATACTTTTACATACATTTTGTACAAAGTGACTACAAGGGGAAATGTCTAGGACATTATACATCCTTGTGGCAGAGGGCTTTAGTATATTTACAATATTTGTTGATTTGGCCTAGAGAAATAAGAAGTGGTGAAAATTATACTAAAAACCACTTGAGGTCACGATAGCTCAAGTGATAGAGTAGCGGCGTATCTAGCCGAAGGTCGTGTGTTCGAATCCCGCTCGTAACGCTCACTTTTTTATCTCAACTAAAAACCTTAATTAATTGAAATGATATAATAATCTCGAAATAGACGCACAACGAAGACCAAAAAACTAAATATATTTAAATAATAATCCACTTATGTTTTAGTAGTCAATTTGACCAAGTTACGTCTTTCAATTAATTATTCTTTTTATCTCAACCAAGACGTTATATAAAAAGAATATTTAAATAATATTCTACTTTATAACCCAGCAACTTGACACCCTTGTATATAAACAAGCCTTTGAAAATCAAGTTGAAGTCAAATCCATTAATAAATTTGCCGTCAATAACAAATCAAACTGTAAATTGGATAAGCGTTAGGTTATTTCTGGTGTAGTTCAAACATTCGGCTTGTAGGTAATGGCCAACGTTTAGGTTTTCAAACGAACATGTTTACGATTTAACATATAAACGACCTTTTATATGTTATTTATGCACACGAAGCAGAATTGTATTGGCCTCCGCAATGCAATTTCTGTGTTTGCGCTCGTGCACTGTACATGGTCTTGATTACCACCCGGTTAAACACGTCGGCTAAGCCAATGAATGGATCTTCTATGTACATTGTTGATTACCAATCAATTGGATGCCACGTACAGTATGTCTGGCCACCAATATAATACATAAATGGAAATATTTCCGACATGCTTCGAGGAACTTTCAGTATAAATATAAACAAAACAGGTAACAGAATGCAGGAGAAATGTTTTAGAAGTTATTTCCCCAGATGCATACATTTTATCCCCTTCCGACTTTTCGGATCGGTTTCAACATCTTTTTAAAGCCTGGGAATTGTTTTTACGAATAGCATCAATATCTCGTTTTACATTTAATTGAACGTTTTTATGCTTTCTGCTATAAAGTAAACATCGATATATGTTTTTCACCGGTAATACCGTTTTTTGCACCCTTGTATTCACATGAAAACGCAATTATTACCTCTATACTACTTAAACCCACTGGAATAATTTAATTGGGGTTAAAACAGTCGAAAAAATAACCTGATTTGTGGCAGAGGCTTGCTTTCAACTTATTTTTTAAAAAATAGTTAGTATTTTCTAGTAGTTGTTTTCTGAGAAATCTGGGTAGGACACTAGTAAGTTAACAGATTTGATATCTTGTCACTTGTTATTTTAATTACCACAATAAAACGTAATAAATATTATATTTATAGAGTGAGAGAGAAAAGTGTGAGTCAAAAGACAACGAGAGAGAAAGCGTGAAATAGAGGGGAAAGAGGAGGAAAGAGAAAGAGAAAGAGAAAGAGAGAGAGAGAGAGAGAGAGAGAGAGAGAGAGAGAGAGAGAGAGAATAGTTCCCTATGAAGGATCTACTTGTTGATTAATGTTTTCGTTCATAGTCCCAGAATTTCGACAACATAGACGACTTCTAACATCTCCGACGACCATTCAGAAGCATAGTGAGAGACGTAGAGTCAGACTGATAAAGGGAATAAACGTAAGATAGACTTAGAGAAAAACATAAAGAGAGAGGGACCTAGAATGAAAAATAAACGAAAAAAGAGGGTCAGTGTTTTCATAATTTTGATGCTTTCGTAAACTATGTTAGATAATTTTACGTATTTCTATAGAGAGAGAGATAAAAGAAGATAGATAGAGAGCTAGAGAGAGAGAGAGAGAGAGAGAGAGAGAGAGCGTGAAAGAGTGAGAGGAAATGACAGAGTGAGAGTGAAACAAAAAGGATAAGCATGTTTATTGAAAAAACATAGATAATAACCGAAAACTATGTTAAAATGCTGTGTAAATATCGTTTTACGATGTTTGTACAAGCATGTTGATTGAGTACGTAATAACCTATTAAATGGAGGCATGGAAAATATGGATGGTTTTCTTTTGTAATCGCCTTTTTCGTAGAAATGAAATTGTACAAATCCCTGCTTAACCTCATAAAATTTACAGACTTAATAATCGTTGGATATCCTTAAATATTAGTTTGAAACATTAGCGTACGATCCCTGACTTGATGAGTAATTAAGTAACATCGACCAGCGAAATGCTACCTATCAAGGCTCGTCTTAAAAGCTGGTGTCGACAACATGAAATGATTTATAACAAAATGGTGTCGTATACAAAGCAGCACTATTTTAAGCGTGGAAAATTGTTTAAGTGCTGTGGACGTGGAATTATCGATTGCAATGAAACTTTTCTTACTAATATTATTCGAAAAATATTACATACTTGTCTGAGTGTTCTTACGAATGAGTCCTGGTAACTAAAACTTTTTTAAAGAAATTTAATTTTTCAGTGAAATATGGGTTTTTGTTTTCGTTAGGCGTGTGTTGCAAGGTTAATATAATTACAATTAATTAAGGTTTTTAGTTGAGATAAAAAAGTCAATGGCACGAGCGGGATTCGAACCCACGATCTTCCGCTAGATACACCGCTGCTCTACCACTTGATCTATCGTGACCTCGATCCACTCGGACACTAACTTCCCATCTCAACTCCACCTTTTGAATTTTCCCTCCTTTTTGCCATTTTTCAGAGATGGGAAGTTAGTGTCCGTGTGGATCGAGTTCACGATAGCTCGTGCCATTACTTTATCTCAACTAAAAACCTTAATTAATTGTAATATATTAATTGGTCAAGCGGACCACGAAATTAGTGAAGTTAATATAATTATGTTGCTACTACTTTTTTATTTTAATTACTGTAATAATAATAAATGCATAATAAAAATTTATACTGAATCATATTGAATGAGATTAAATACACTGACAGGCAAAAAATTCCACCCAATTGATTTGTTTTCGTTTTCTCGATAAAATATAATTCTGCCCTTAAGTTGTCTCATTTTTTCTATCAATAAAAATCAGTTTATGCTATGTTTTAAATTTGGAATATCAATTAGAGGTAAACACACAATCCTTAATCCAAAACGAGGATAAAGGATTTTTCAATGTTTACGTTTTAAGGAATTTAAAATGTTTATTGAATCATTTGAATTCTGAAGCAATAAACTGCTTAGTTTCCAATTTTGTTTTCTTAATATCAATTTTTAAACTTAAAAATGCCACTTAGTGCTGAGGATGTTGCGCGTGGTGTGGCACTTATTGATGATGGATATTCCATCTGGTATGCGTCTATTGCCATCGGAGTTCCCTACGAAACTCTTCGAGTCGCCGTTAGACGTTTTCGAAAAACTGGGCCCTACCATAGAAGGCTCGGTTCTGGACGCTCTAGGGCAGGGGTGCTCAAACGGTCGATCGCGATCGACCAGTCGATCGCGAGTGCTTTTTGAGTAGATCTCGAGAAGAAAAAAATTTTTAATAAGTAGGTAGGTAACTAAACTACAAAAATGTA